CCCCTCCCCACTCCCCCGTCTTCAATCAATATTCTTCAGTGTATACAGATCTTACCCGGTGTATATACAGTGTACAATAGCCGGTGGATGTACAATGTAGTGTACATTTGCCGTTGTATTTACTGTTTACTACTATACAGTTTATGAACCGGTACATGTACAGTGTACTATTGTACTGTGTACATTAGCCGGTGTATGTACAGTGTACTCTTTTACGGTGTACACTGTACAGTAGCCGTTGTATGTACAGTTTAATATTATTCAGTGTAGTGTTTTTTGGTCTTCAAAAATTTGTTAAACTATCGTTGGAAATTGGTGACAAAAATATTTTTTTTAAATCATGAGACACTTGACTCTGGTTATGCGCAGTGTACTATTATACGGTGTACAGTAACCGTTGTATACAGTGTACAATTACCCGGTGTACAGTAGCCGTTGTACACAGTGTAAAATTATACGGTGTACAGTAGCCGTTATATGTACAGTTTAATATTATTCAGTGTACAGTAGCCAGGGTATTACAGTGTACTATTATACTGTGTACAGTAGCCGGTGTATACAGTGTACAATTATACGTGTACAGTAGCCGTTGTATGTGCAGTTTAATATCATTCAGTGTACAGTAGCCTGGGTATGTACAGTGTACTATTATACGGTGTACAGTAGCCGTTGTATACAGTGTACAATTATACGGAGCACAGTAGCCGTTGTACACAGTGTACAATTATACGGTGTCGGGTGTACAGTAGCCGTTGTATATACAATGTTCTATTATACTGTGTACAGTAGCCAGTGTATGTACAGTGTACTATTATACGGTATACAGTAGTCGTTGTATATACATTGTACTATTATACGGTGTACAGTCGCCGCGGTGTATGTACAGTGTACTATTATATGGTGTACAATAGCCAGTGTATGTACGGTTTACTATTATACGATGTACAGTAGCCGTTGTATGTTGAGTTTACTATCATACAGTGTACAAAATACAGTGTAATTGCAGTGTATTAGTATACGGTGTACACTAGCCGGTGTATGTGAAGTGCAGTATATTATCCTGTACTTGTAACTACCACAATTGTAAATAGATTTTTGCTAGTGTATGTAAATAAATGTGTAAAGTAAACTGTATTTACATTTAAACTGTAAATTGTATGCATATCTCAGTCGGTGACTGTACACTATACAGTGTACAGTACACTATAGAGATTTTGTGTATATATTCGCCGGTGTACGTACAGTGTGAAATAGGTAATGTCTGGTACACTATACAGTGTACAGCACAACATACTTTATTGGACCGTACAATGTGCATTGTACACTGTATAGTATGAATGTAACACTGTACAGTTTACTGCAAACAGAAGGGTTGTACTTTACATAAAGCTGTGCAGTGTATATATACAGATGTCTATTAAGAAATAAAATCTTTATATAATTCTAATATATCTTGTAAAAACAAATAGATTCAGGGATAGATAAGAGTTTCCCTTAGTATGATTTTTTTAAATAACTAGTTGTTGTGTCGTTTTTTCTGTGATTTGGCCACATCAGACCAAGGATTGCATGATCCAAACCAGTAGTACGAAGCATTAACTGGTACTGCCCGGTCAAGTGCAATCGTACCATTTTTGCATTCACTGTTACCGGACGGTCTAGCGTACCCCGTGTGTAGTGGCCCCAGCACAAAATGCAAGCTGCTTGGATTTATTTTAAGGCCTTTTATTGTAAACATTGTCAGAATTCTATAATGTAATCTTGGTTCATGTAAACAAGGAAATTTTATTGAAAAACATAAAAACATCCGAACATTTTATGTGAGGAAAACACAAATACTGATATACACATATAGGGATATACATAAATACGGATATACATAAATATGGATATACATCAATACGGATATACATAAATACAGATATATATAAATACGGACATGCATAAATACAGATATACATAAATACGGATATACACAAATACGGATATAGATAAATATGGATAAACATAAATCCGGATAAACATAAATATGGATATACATAAATCCGGATATACATAAAACCAAAAATAGACATTTGAGTGATAATGATTTTTTATTTTTGTTTCATTTCAAAACTTTTTTACTACTTATTTCTAACAGCAGTTTGTCACACAAAAAATCATTCAAAGTTGTTTTTTAAGTTTTTATTGAACTGCAACCTTATATTCATCTTTTGGAATTATCAATTTTTTGCAGGAATTATGTTTTAGGTTTAAAAATAGTAACAAATTAAAAAAAATACAAAATTATTTAATGGTACAAAAGCAAAGAGAATAGAATATATATTCTATTCTCTTTGTATACAAAAGCTTCGTATTCTGAAGTATCAAAGGTTTACACGACACAAGGTGGCAAAGATATCAAATTAAAAATATGAGAATAAGAAAAAATAATAGTCTTTTCTTGACATTATCTAAATTTTTCAAAATGCATTTTATTTTATTTTCTCTAGGTTTACAGGTGTTTTGTGATTTTCCTCAGTGAAAACATGACAGCTGGCCAATATTGAAAAACAAATTGTTATCAAATCTAATTCTTGTTTTTTTTTTCATCGTATTTCTTGTAATTCAAAAAAAGCACTTATATTCAATCTGTTTAAAAAATGTAAACACCAGAAAAGTCTAAAATCCACAAAAAGATATTTGGAAGAAACAAATCATTTGAAAAAAGTCATACTATTTTTTATCTAGGTAACTTTCTCATGAGTACACACTCAGAGGACTTTTTTCTTATGATATTTTTTTCAAATTCATCTTTTATCAGGACTTTGTTTGAATAGGAGTACTGTCCAGGTCTATCAGGGTTCTGCCAGATATGATCTAATTGTAATTTTGTTTTCAACATGAACGTAAAAGAATATCAAACCCCTCTAAGGGCAGAAAATAAGATAATCTTATCTGTGAAATAAAGTAAGTTTTCCCTTGACTAACATTCAACTATGGAATATAAAAAGGAATATATTTGAAGGGAATCAATTAGGTTTGAATAACATCATCACTGAAGACTATAACGTAGGAGAAGGTTAATGTATTCGACATTAGTGTGGATCCGCATTTGATCTACTGCCGTTTGAACTCTTGATCATTTAAACTATTGATCGTTTGAATTATTGTTGATTCCAACTACTGATAATGACGTCATTTCCTGTAGTTCATTAATCACATTATTTCCTAATTTAAACTATTTTATCTGTAAATAAGCAGTTTAAATTCTTAAATTTCATGAAAAAATAGGTTAAAAAATCATCACAAAATAGTTTAAATGATCAAAAAAAATATTTCACATATGGACATAAAAATAGTTCAAATTAAGTAAAACTAGTTAACATGACCAAAAAAATAGTTCAAATGCAAAAATATTTCAAATTAACACAAAAATAGTTTAAATGAACCAGTTAAAATAGTTGAAATTTGTGTATTATTTCAGGGTTAGGCTGGGATAAGAAAATTTTTGGGCCGAGCTTTGCAGCTGCTAGTGGGACAGGCTAGGGGACCGATATCGCTACGGCTAGTAGTTCAAATGAACAGAAAAAAAGTTCTAATTTAGCAAAAATAAAATATAGCTTAAATGAGCTTAAGCATAGTTCAAACAAGCAAAAATTAGTTCAAGTGAACAAAAAAATAGTAATGAAGAAGAAAATAGTTCAAATGCACCAATAAAAAGTTCAAATGAATTAAAGAAAAATATTTCAAATGAGCAAAAAAACAGTTCAAATAAACAATAAAAATAGTTCAAATGAACAAAAAAAAAAGTTCAAATAACCAAAAAATAGTTCAAATAAACAAAACAATAGTTCAAATGAACAAAAACGAAATAGAATTTGATTCCTATGAATGCATTTAGATTAGTTCATAATTTCATTAATTTTGAACTTGACAACAAGTATCTGACTAATTCCAACCAAAATTGTTGATTTAACACAGAAATTACAACAATTATAACAATAATAATACTATACCAGGAACAAGATATATGAATATACAGTATCCATATATAATAATATTGGCAACAAGTATCTGACTAATTCCAACCAAAATTGTTGATTTACCACAGAACTTACAACAATTATAACAATAATAATATTACCAGGAACAAGATATAATAATAACCAGTATCCATAATAATAATATTACCAAACTAATGAGCAGACTAAATGATGAGGCGGACAGGTCGACCCCTCCTCCACTGTAACTTGTCCTCTAGATATTTGTTTATTTACAATCTTGATTTATTTTCAGAATGTTGTTCTTCTTGATTCTGTTAGTTCAGGGGTCAAGTCTGTTCACTTCTCAGTATATCAACAAGAAAAAAGGTTAAACATATTTGTTAAATAAATGAATTTAAACAGTGCAAAGAAACTGACAGGGTGTCCTTATAAGCATAGAAGTTAAGAGACGAGTCTTAGCTGTTAAAAAATGTTGTTTGCCTTCATTGTATCTTTAAAAAAGAGGGAGATATTTAACATTTAAAATATTTCGTAGACTTCTGAATATCTCCGTCAATTTTGAAAATGCAAAAATGGTACAAACCACACTTTGGAATTTAAATAGTTTGGATTATTATTTCGAAGCATTTTCTTATAATTTGTTTTATGAAATAAAATAAATCAGGTTCGTTGAGATATGATTTTAAAAAAGTGCAAAGTTTCAGAGTGAAATCCAAAAAACCTTCAAAATCTCTGATTATAATGAAGATAGCAAGTTTTAAGGCCCGCGTCAGCCATTTTTATTGTTTACAAAAATTTTAATTTAGTTTCAAAGTTTGCAGCTAGAAAAAAATATTTTGGCTCATCGTATTGTTTTATTTATACCGAAAATTTTGAATCTTTAAAATCCAATCGGCTTTATTCTCAATGCCTTCGGTTGAGCCCAAAACTCCCGTACCCTTATCTCTTAAAGGGATTGTAAGCATAATTCAAAATGACCTTTCCATGAAAAGCTTTCAATGTCCGATTCAAAAAGGTACCTTTAAAGCTTTGTCTGGTCTAGTAAAAATAATGTATACATTGGCAGAATTTAAAGAATTTGATCGGCGGTTTAGATTTAAGCCACGGTTTAAATATGGTTGGTTCCACTAAAAATTGTATCAAATGTTTCAAGATTTAAGCCGGCGCTGAATTTAAACCGGGTTTCGGCGGATTTAAACCGCGGCTCAAAATCTTTAATTTCCATCTCAGATCTCCGTTTATAATTGTGAAAACAGACTATTTTCAACTGTGAATTCTCTACAAAAGTGAAATTCGCTTTTGAACTGCAGGAAATGCTTTTATTCTTAGAAAAACGACAATATCTTCCACTTTATTGATGAGATATGGGTTTCAAGGGTACTGTTTTGAATTTGGTATTGCCATCTTTGCATGAAGTGTTACTTGAAATTACGCTTACAGTCCCTTTAATTCTAAAATAGAAACGTTTAAATATAATACTTGTCCTCTCTCAACTCCTTTATACTCTGAGCTGAGCTTTAAATACACTTCTATATATAAATTTGGCTTGTTTGTCTGTCTGTTTGTTTGTCTGTTTGTTTGTTTGTATCCAATAAACGTCAAAACGGCTGAACCGATCGGATTTCTTGAAGAACAAAACGTCTTATATAGAGGGATAAATTTGTTTATCTCCTACTTGTGCGTAAAATCAAAAACTAGAAGATCTAAGAGGTCACAAAGTCGTCCCAGTAATTTCGCATACATTTGGCCTTCTCTTTCGGTATGTTTCTTTTTGCAGTGAGGTAGAATATTCTTGAGACTAAAACCGTTTCGATGCAGGAAGTCGTGTTCTATAATCATTAAATTCAACGCAACACCAAAATATTTTGAGAGATGAAACAAAACTTTTAAAAAATTGTAACATTTTCCCATGTGGGTAACTTGGGATAGGTGGCTTATCCCCCAGCTTGGATTTATATATATAAAAAGTAGTAATCTCTGTTTGTTTGTATATATGATTATAACCCAGGGACCCCTGGACCGATTTGCCTCACATTTGATTGGGGAACTCAATAGAACCATTATAATGTTCTTAGCTTGGTTTACAAGTTTTTAGTTGAATATGTTGACTCTTCTAATTATAAAATTTTGTTTCACGGCAAAGCTGGGTTCCAAAGCTAGTTTTATAAATAAAAAATCCTGAATCATTGGAATAATAATACCTCAGGGTTGCATGCTATATCAGCTCAAATTGATCTAAAGGTTAACTATTATTTATCTATAAATATAAGGTAGTAATATCTGTTTAGTTAGTTGTATCGTAATTTAATTAATTAAACGAGTGGCTGGTCTGATTCACAACTTTAACAACCTCGATTTAAGTAAAAGATTAGGAGAATGTCGTCATTATTTTAACTAGAAAGTGTGAATTCTGTTATACTTCATTTTCATGCATAAAGAAATCATGATTGAAAATACACAATTTTCTGCTAAGCAAATATGGATATTTTTTTCATCCTAGACCAGACAGAGATTTAAATAATACCATTGTGAATTGTGCGTTCCCCTCTTTTTAATGGAAAAGTCATTTGACTACAGTCGCTTTAAGAACAGTTTTAAATCAACAAAATATAAATTTCTTAGTAATTTTGCCCGGAGGGTTAAATCTTTCCGACCGGAAATATTTTGGGGAATTTTTTTATTTTTTTTTTGCTTTCATTACCTTTATTCCTTCATACTTCTCCTTCATAATTTTCTTATTTAATTATCTTCTACTACGGGGGAGGGGAAGGGGGGACAAGGGGGAGGGGAAACAGGGGTTATTGGGGGAAGATGTTAGGTGGGGGATTATTTATCCAGCGAAGTGTATAATTGGTAAAGTTTACCCTCTCTTTCCTTAATGCAGAGCAGGGAATTTATGACAGTTGAAGATCATCCTGGCTTAAGTCGAGTATTTTTCCTAAAGTCAACCAAAAACTTCGTCTTCAAAGATTGTGAAAATATTGGTTGGATAAATTAAATTAAGTACGTCATGAATTTTTTAACCGAAAGTTAGAATTTCTGCCTCCCCCCCCCAACCCCCCACACCCTTCCGTCTAGAAGAGACTAACCCTCTTTTATTGGTTGGCTTAATTTTTACATCAAAGGTCTAATCCTGAAATTCTATGTGAAATGTGATCAAAAGTTTAACGCTTTGTCTAACTAAACTATATAANCCGGCATTTCCTCTAATACTACTGTATTGTTATTATAATTATATATGAAAAGAAACAATCAGCAACATTGGGATTTCCATCAGCAGGATATTTTACCAATCCCGTCCACGGTATTTTACAATAAAAGTCAATATTTTAGATTTGTGTGCAAAAAAAATAAAAACTGTTTCTCTTCGTGGATGAAGATTTTTCTCTTTTCGTGTTTTAGTTATAGATAATTCGTTGTGATTAGAGTTGCTAAAGACAAAATGTATGTTTAGATAATTTTTGCTTTTTCTAAAAACAAGGTGATCGAATCGTTAACTTTGAAGAAAAATAGAAATGAACCGATTGTTTTTAAAATGTTATTTTTGGAAAGGATCGCATAGTTTATTAAATTCCTTGTTTTGTTAATGAAGATATGTCATTAACGATCGTTAACGAACTTCCCAGTTTAAGGACTATATTTGCCAGATCCAACCCAGTACATGACATGAGTCATACTGTCCAGTTTGGACTACCCACTGTACAGTCGACCCAGCACGTTTTATGCAATAAGTGTGACCTGCCAAGATTACAGTGCTTTGCGATGGTCAAAGAGTGATGTTGTAACAAAGTGACTTATGAATGTTAAGTTGAATCAACTTTTTTGATAAAACTAGCAAATTTTTGGCTCGTTAAGGTTTGTTTGTCAGAAATTCAAATCTATTTATTCGTTGGTTTTAACCCTTTGTACTTCTTAGAAATGAAGGTTTGTTAGTTTTTAAAAATAAAACAATCTTTTTTCTTCTTCATTTTTAAAGACGATCTATACCGATTACCGGCCAATAGATTTGTTCATTTTGAAGAATTCCCTTTAAGTCCATTGTATAATTCAATTTTATGAAACTTTCTCAACCATTTAATTATCTTTTATAATATTTTTTTAGCTTTCTAGTAAAAAATATTTTGGTTGTTTTTGACAAATATGTACATTCTTCTGTACAACATAAATACTGATAAAAATTATTGTTTGTTTGGGCATATTGATCATATCAACTTATATATAATTATATGATAATATGTAATCATAAACGCTCCTTCTCAATAATATTCAGGATATTTATCAGAATATGCTTTAAACTTATTCTGTATTCTGTATTCTGTATTCTGAAATTCTGTATTCTGTATTCTGTATCCTATGTTCTAAATATTTGATTGACTGATAAGCTTTGGTCTGCGATCTAGCTGTGATATTTGAAAAACCAAAAAATTCTTTGTCCCGATTTGAGAATCAATCAAGTGTCCTGTAATCTGAGTCATGTATTCTGTATTCTGTATTCTTTATAAAAATACAGAATTATTCTGTATTCTCTATTCGAAAATTGTCAATCCTTTTATTGCAGGAAGATAAAAGTTTTATTGAAATCTCTAAACTGAGATGAAAGCAAGGTTTAAAATTAAAGGAGAGGTGGGGGGGGGGGAGAAGGGGGAGATAATTTTTGACGTATTTACATAAAGCAGTTTTAGAAGTGCTTTTTGTTAACAAACCACAATTTGTAAACAAACTTCAATTTCTAAACAAAGCTTAGTTTGTAAACAAATCTCAATTTGTAAACAAACCACAGTTTGTAAAGAAAACTCAGTTTGTAAAAATAATTCTGTTTGTAAACAAACCTCAGTTTGTAAAGAAAATTCAGTTTGTAAACAAACCTCCATTTGTAAACAAACCTCCGTTGTAAACAAACCACAGTCAATAAACAAACAACAGTTTGTCAGCAAACATCAGTTTGTAAACAAACCTGAGTTTGTAAATAACTCTCAGTTTGTGAGCAAACATCAGTTTGTAAACAAACCTGAGTTTGTAAATAACTCTCAGTTTGTAAACAAACCTCAGTAAAAAATTTGAATTTAGGTTTGTTTAAAGTTGAAGAGACCTGGTTTACAAGACGCATTTATCCCTTAAACTCTTACAAAACTGCTCAGGTTAGATTTCCCCAAGATATCCCCAAATCTCCTCAATCACTATTTGTCCCAACAGCAACTTTCAGTCACTTCCCCAACAGCAATTTTCTCAACCGCAAATCTCCCCAATCACTATTTGTCCCAACAGCAACTTTCAGTCACTTCCCCAACAGCAATTTTCTCAACCGCAAATCTCCCCAATCACTATTTGTCCCAACAGCAACTTTCAGTCACTTCCCCAACAGCAATTTTCTCAACCGCAAATCTCCCCAATCACTATTTGTCCCAACAGCAACTTTCAGTCACTTCCCCAACAGCAATTTTCTCAACCGCAAATCTAACCAATCACTATTTTCCCAGTCACAACTTTCCGAACCGAAAATCTCCCAAATCACTATTTTCCCCAATAGCAACTTCCCCAGCAAGAATTTTCCCCTGCAGTAAAATTATTGTTTGTTTATCTAGATGTTGTTATGGCGGATTCCTCCTGAAACCCTTGAAGCAAGATGGATCCTGAACACCAACTCTTCAACCCTGGCTTGTCGCCACCAAAACGTTTCAGTGTAAGTTTAAAAACTGTGGAATAGTAAGACGACATTTAGTAATCTTTTGTGTATAAAGGCTTTTACGAGCAGCTATTAGGTGAACAATCGATTTTTGCATAATGTTCTATCTATTCCGCCGTTTAATTCATTAAAAACCCGCTTTTTTTACACAAGTGGAATTTACTTGCGCGCAACTGCGAGCCCTGTAACTCTGCGTAATTCTTCGCAATTTTGCATAATTCCGCGCAAAGAAATTCCAATTGGAAATCCTACTTTTAATCAAAGTTTTTTATCACAAATTCAACTTTTTTTCTTCCCCCTTACGTTTAAACATTGGTTTTGGATAGATTCTGTATGTCTGCTTGAAATTCTGGTATACATAAAGCGAAATGATAGTGCTCACAAGCTCATTATGTCGATTTAAAAGGCCAGAACGATTTCATAATAATGATGACATTTCTAAAAAGTTTGCATAGTTTTATTTTTGAATTTCGTGGATTTTAAACTTTTCTCATTTATTTATCTTTCTGTCTCCTTGCCTCAGATTTAAACAAATCTTCTTTTAAGAAATCTTTTTGTTGTTTTTGTTTAATTTGATGCGGGATAGTACACAGGAAATGCCTGGGATAGTACACAGGAAATGCCTGGGATAGTACACAGGAAATGCCTGGGAAAAGAAAATTAGTTTTACAAGTTATAAATGAAAGTTAATTAAGGCTCAAAACAAGTTTTGAAAGAGAAGACAAAATTATTTTTACAGAAGAGAGAGAAAATAAGATGTTTGCAAGCAAGGAACAAACATAACTTTAGTTACAAAAAAGTTTACTGTACTTTCTGGGTATTATTCTAAAAAGTTGACTGTACTTTCTTGGTATTATTATAAAAAGTTGACTGTACTTTCTGGGTATTATTATAAAAAGTTGACTGTACTTTCTGGGTATTATTATAAAAAGTTGACTGTACTTTCTGGGTATTATTATAAAAAGTTGACTGTACTTTCTGGGTATTATTATAAAAAGTTGACTGTACTTTCTGGGTATTATTATAAAAAGTTGACTGTACTTTCTGGGTATTATTATAAAAAGTTGACTGTACTTTCTGGGTATTATTATAAAAAGTTGACTGTACTTTCTGGGTATTATTATAAAAAGTTGACTGTACTTTCTGGGTATTATTCTAAAAAGAGAAAGTTCATAGATCTGTTAAAGGGTCTGTGGGTTTAATTTCAAGTGACCCTCCATGGAAATATGGCAATTTTTGGATTCAAAACCTTAGTTTAAAAGTGTTTAATTCTGAGAAATCTTTTTTATTTTTCTGCAGTAGAAAAGTGCAAGTCACTTTTGTATAAGAACCCATAAGTAAAAAATATTTGTTTACACATTGAGATCGTATTCTTTTTGATAAAAATATTTAAATCAGTTCAGTAAATCAGTTTCGTAAATCAGTTTAGTAAATCAGTTCAGCAAATCAGTTCAGTAAATCAATTCAGTAAATCAATTCAGTAAATCAGTTTTGTAAATCAGTTCAGTAAATCAGTTCAGTAAATCAGTTCAGTAAATCAGTTCTGTAAATCAGTTTAGTAAATCAGTTCTATAAATCAGTTCTGTAAATCAGTTCTTTAAATCAGTTCAGTAAATCAGTTCAGTAAATCTTCTGTAAATCAGTTCAGTAAATCAGTTCAGTAAATCAGTTCTGTAAATCAGGTCAGTAAATCAGTTCAGTAAATTCAAGATATCTCTTGTAAACTTTGAAGGAATGAGAAAATTTTAATGTAAATCGTTTATATTTTAAGAATGGATTAAATGGTTTTTAAGATTATCTGATTTGAGTATAATGTACAAAAGCTAAATAAAAATGAAAGATTACTTTATTTCAACCTAACCTAACCAAGGCTAGGTATGCGCTGGGTTCCCACTATTCCATTTGAATCACATTTTGTTTATAATTTAATAATCTTATGGAGTTGTGTTGTTACACCTTTTCTTTTAAAACAAAAAGAATTTTAAAGAAAATGTTCAGGAGATCAAATTCTGATCAAGTTGACAACATGCTGGGCCGGGGTATACGGAACGAACAGTAAAATCCGTGTGACTTATTTGTTCCTTAAAGTTTCTTTTCTTCTTTTCCTCATTTTCCAGATATTTGTAGGATAGTCTTAGAATAAATCTTTAGAGAAATTATTTTTCAGCGGGGGGGGGGGCCTTTTCTGGGTCCCTCTCAGGTCCCACGCAAATTTAGTTTGGTTAAGCCGTTCTCTTCCTTTTTTTTTAAACGGAAAGAAAGAGAAAGAAGACAAAATATAAATTGAACAGATGTCTCAAGTCATTTTCCTTTCCATTTACATGTAATAACAAAAATATAGCAAAGTTGGGGGGGATTATGGAGGTAAAGCTAGGGGGGAATATTTATATTATATTTCACTGAAAAAGTTGAAAATATAAAGAAATATCTTAAATTTGCAGTATCGGATATTGAAAATAAATTTTATTTCGAGGAAAAATCCGGTTTTATTTAACTTTTGGTAGTTTCAAATCATTTATGATTTTATTGGCAATTCAGAACAGAAATTCAATAATATAGAGTTCCAGGATATCTGTTAAACTGTACTAGCTGCAGATTAGAATAAAAGGGATTGACTGCAATATTTAAGCTGAGTCTCTTTAAATGGCAAATCAAGATTATGTTTTCTGTGTTAATGTATGAATAAACAGACCCTTTTCAGTTTATCAGTAATTTATTAACTTACTAGTTAAGCTGTTTGCTTTGTAAAAACATCAAATACACTTGTATTTTGGTTTAATTGTGTCTTCTGATTCAACAGTTTTCTGGTTCTCATTGTACAATGCACACGTCTATAGTGGTATAGTAGCGTAGTTAGTGATTCATAATATGAATTGGGCTTTTTTCTCTGTTTTATCGTATTCAACATTGATAGGTTTCCTGTAGTATCAACTGATGGAGGAAGGTTTCCTCCTCAATTTCTTCCCTTCAAGGAAACCCAGCATCATATTATATTCAGGTTATTTAACTTTAAAGTTTAAAAACAACAAATGACAAAATAACATGTTTACAGGGAGTGACGTTGTAATTTCGGTTCACCGTCGGTGTTCTTCGTTTCAGAAAAAAATTATGATGTTTTTTTTTGCTTTCATATACTGAATCATTTTCAAATGTGGTTTATCTGAAAACGAAGATATCTTCGCCATTGATGCTGAAGATTGCTAATAAATATTATTTAGTCCAAGGACCTCCGAAGAAGAATTGCTAATAAATATTATTTGGTTCAAGGATCTCTGAAGAAGGATTGTTAATAAATATTATTTTGGCCAAGGACCTCCGAAGAAGGATTGCTAATAAATATCATTTTGTCCAAGGACCTCCGAAGAAGAATTGCTAATAAATATTATTTTGTTCAAGGACCTCCGAAGAAGGATTGCTAATAAATATTATTTTGGCCAAGGACCTCCGAAGAAGGATTGCTAATAAATATTATTTTGGCCAAGGACCTCCAAAGAAGGATTGCTAATAAATATTATTTGGCCAAAGACCTCCGAAGAAGGATTACAAATAAATATTGTTCTATCCAAGGACCTCAAATAAAGGATTGCTAATGGACATTATTTGTCCATGGCCCTCCGAAAAAAGGATAACAAATGAATATCATTTTAGCCAAGGACCTTCGCAGAAGGATTGCTAATAAATGTGATTCTATCCAAGGACCTTCGAAGAAGGATTGCTAATAAATATTATTCTATCCAAGAACCTCCGAAGAAGGATTGCTAGAGCTAAAGGGTCCACAGCCTGGAAACTGGTTTATGATGTCTGCTATTTCTCCGTCAGCTACATCTAATGGTAAAATTTCAAAATAAAAAATAGATAATCCGGAAAAGACTATGTTATCTGAAATAATTCGCTAAATTTTCCTTAAAAGATTAAATAAATAGACAATAAAAAACAGACAAGAAAGAGTGTTAAATAGAACTTTTTAAAAAAATTGAAAAAAAAACTATTTTCTTGGAATTTTGGCTCTTCAAGAGTCAACTCTAACGCTCTTTTCGAAATATTAAAACTTTTTACAACAAAAAAGTGTAAATGAAAATTAAACATTATCAAAAAGAATTAAAAAAACCCTGTAAAATTCATTATATTTTCTTCGCCTAAAGATTCTCTTTGAAAAAAGTTCTCTGAAAAAAATTTTTGGAAATAAAGTCCTAAATTTTGGCACCAAAAAATGTTCTGTGTAAGAAAGTCCTTAAAACAAAACTTCTCTGGAAATAAAGTCCTTCCATTTTGAGACTTTATTTACTGGTTCCAGTTTACTAATATACAAAAAAGTCCACGGAAAAAAGGATCAACCATGCAAAAAAGGAGCAAAATATATTTAATATGCAGATGCATAGAAAAAAGTCTTATTTTCTTAGTTTTTTCCAAACTCGGGACTTTATTTCCAGTGACAGTTTGAGAAAATTGGGACTTTTTCACCAAAGTCTTTATTTCCTGGTTTTTTTAGAAACTTTTTTCCTCTGACTTTCTTACATAGATTCGAATAATGTACTGTAGGCTGCAGTACAGATCTAATAGTGAGAGTTGAGTACACAGTACAAGAAGATATCATCACTATAGTACCCGTGTTCCAGGATTACCAGGGAAAAAATATTTTTCATGCAATTTTTTCAGAAATGTTTTTTTAAATATTCTAGTTTGGAATTTCTGCCATTTCCCAGAAAAAAAAATAAAAGAAAGAAAAATTGAAGAACATTTTTTTTAACAAAACTTTTCCTAAATATGTTCATATTAAAAAAAAAATTAAATAAAATATCTATTCAAAAATTATATTTTTTATCAGGATATAATGATATTCAACACAATATCTCGCCAGCAGTACTACAGGTACAAAAAGGTTTTTTAAAAAATAAACTTTATATTTTTAAGCCTACAAATATTCTTTACAGGGACTGTAAACGAAATTTTAAAATGAAAAGATTATTATCCGATTTGACAATTGAAACCATAATCTGTTCAAAAATGTGGAAGATAATACTAGATCAGACAAAGCTTTCAACGGTGCTGTTGTTAATCAGGCCTGGCCATCTTTGTAAATGGAGGGTCACTTAAAATTACGCTTACAGTCCCTTTAAAAGCTCGCAGATAAAATTGTTTCTATCTTTAAATTTAGATAAAGATATGATAAACATTAGGGGACATTAGTTCCAAACTAGAATTTTGGCGCATATCTGACACTGAGGGGCCAAATTGCGGTTTGAAACTAATGTCCCCTGCAATGAGCCGCTTATAAAAAATTAAGCAGTGAAGTAAACTTCAATTTGAAAATCTTATATGTTTGCAAGCTAATATAGTAATTAGTAATGTTTATGGTATTCTAAACTATAAAATATTATCAAATTAGAGCTCCAGGCGAGAGCTTAGATCCTTTGTTTAATAATCTCTTTATTAATCTGTAGCTGTCTATAAACCATTCCCTAATTTCACTGTAATTGTTATATCTAACTTAGCAACTAGAAGTTGTATCTATGCATCTATGTACCTATGTATCTATGTATATATGTATCTATGTATCTATGTATCTATGTATCTATGTATATATGTATCTATGTATCTATGTATCTATGTATCTATGTATCTATGTATCTATGTATCTATGTATATATGTATCTATGTATCTATACATCTATGTATCTATGTATCTATGTATCTGTGTATCTATGTATCTATGTATCTATGTATATATGTATCCATGTACCTATGTATCTTTGTATCTAGGTTCTACGTATCTATGTATCTATGTATATATGTTCCTATGTATCTATGTGTCTATGTATCTATGTTTCTATGTATCCATGTATCTATGTATCTATGTATCTATGTATCTATGTATCCATGTATCCATGTATCTATGTATCTATGTATCTAGGTTCTACGTATCTAATGGTGGAAGTGCTGGAAATGTTACAATAACAAAGTGCAGTCTGCGTCAAGGGGAAGATATGAAAAAGCAACGAGTGTCCCAGTGCCCTGTTAAAATTGCAACCTCCCCTCTATCCCTTCCTACGCAATACAATAAGGTGAGTTGAGAACTTTTCATCAGAATAACAAATTGCAACCTCCCCTCTATCCCTTCCTACGCAATACAATAAGGTGAGTTGAGAACTTTTCATAAGAATAACAAATTGCAACCTCTCACTAAACAAAAATAAAATTACCACTTATGTTTATTTGTAAAAAAAAAATATATTGTAGCCGTCCTAACATTAAAAATAAAGATAATAACTGCATCCTCCATCTGTACATATTCTTGTCTGTTTGTTTGTTTGAGTGTTTGTTTGTAACCGATAAACAATAAATCCACGAAAAAAACACTAGATTACAGAGCAACAATTTAAGGTCAAAATGGAATATAGTATAAGAGTATAAAAGTTATAAAGTCCCCTCCTACAGGTAAAATGGACCGGGAAATAAAGTCCCCTCCTATAGGTAAAATGGACCTGGATATAAAGTCCCCTCCTATAGGTAAAATGGACCGGGATATAAAGTCCCCTCCTATAGGTATAATGGACCTGGATATAAAGTCCCCTCCTACAGGTAAAATGGACCGGGAAATAAAGTCCCCTCCTATAGGTAAAATGGACCTGGATATAAAGTCCCCTCCTACTGGTAAAATGGACCGGGAAATAAAGTCCCCTCCTATAGGTAAAATGGACCTGGATATAAAGTCCCCTCCTATAGGTTAAATGGACCGGGATATAAAGTCCCCTCCTATTGGACCCGGATATAAAGTCCCCTCCTACAGGAAAAATGGACCCGGATATAAAGTTCCTTCCTACATAGGAAAAATGGACCCGGATAAAAAGTCCCCTCCTATTGGTAAAAAAGACCCGGATATAAAGTCCCCTCCTACAGGAAAAATGGACCCGGATATAAAGTTCCTTCCTACAAAGGAAAAATGGACCCGGATAAAAAGTCCCCTCCTATGTAGGTAAAATGGACCCGGATATAAAGTCCCCTCCTATAGGTAAAATGGACCGGAATATAAAGTCCCCTTCTATAGGTAAAATGGACCTGGATATAAAGTCCCCTCCTATATAGGTAAAAAAGGAGCCGGATATAAAGTCCCCTCCTATATAGGTAAAATGGACCCGGATATGAAGTCCCCTCCTATATAGGTAAAATAGACC